AACAATATTCAGTTGGCTAATCATTCACCTTTTTCCCAATTATTCTGTGAATAACTGACAGAGTGATCCCATGGCCCCTAGGCAACATATAGACAGTCATGGGATGCTATGGCTGGGAAAGAGGTTGGAGAAGAACTCCAGCCCTGGAGTGGGGGAGCAACACTTGGATTGCCTATGAAAGAACTGTGCCCACTGCTTCTCAGAGTTCATAAGAACAACCTCAGTGGAGGAATAATGTGGCATTCCAGAGGCAGGGAGGAAGGAGGCTGGGTCCCCCAGGATACCGCACATGCTGGCGTCCGCCCAGCCTCTCGCCTCCTTGTCTGAACCAGACTATCTGGCGGATCTGCAGCATGGGAGATTGCCACCCCCGCCCTTCCCACTCTGCACCCTCCTCCCACTCTCCCACTATAATCGTCTGAATTCAAGGGCTTACAGGTATTAATTGCACCCTTAATAAATTTAAATCATAGTTGCTCATTATTAAAAACTCTTTTTAAAATACAGGGAAAAGTATATGGCAAGTGTAGCACATGTGCAGTGCAATTCTGAGCATGCTTACTTGAGAGTTAAGACTATCAGCATAGTCGCTTTGTTGAAAGCTTTGCTGAAGGTATAAGAAGTCTGCAGCATTCCCCTATTTCACAAGGAAGGTCACTCAATCAAAACATGAGATCAGATTAGTCTGGCAAAGCTTGTTCTTGGCTTCCGTAATTTCTCCATTGGCTTCTGTAATTTCTTCTGTAAACCCATGCTGGCTTCTGTAATTTCTCCATTATCTTCAAGGTGCTTACAGACTGATTTATTTATTAGAGCCTCAGCTATTGCAAAGTATAAAAAGGAAATAAATGAATAAATATCTGATCCAGAATTTTCCCAGGGATTGATGTCAGACTAACTTGTCTATAGTTCCCAGAATCCTTGTTTTTGCCATTTATGAAGATAAGGACATTAATCCTCTTCCAGTCATCTGGCACTTCATCCATCCTCCATGATTTCTCAAAGATAATAGAGAGTGGTTCTACGAGTTCTTTTGGCATTTTCTTTATCACTCCAGGATGCAGCTCATCAGGCCCTGGGGATCTGAACTGTTCTTTGACCATTTGTTTATTAATTTCAACCTTCAATTCTGACCCTTCAGTTTGTACTTCATTTCTGCAAGGGGGAGTTATAGAGACATGTTTAGAGACACTAGTCATGGAAACTTACTTTTCCTGGATTTATTAAAATCAGCTTTTCCAAAATCCAGAGTATGTGTCTGGTTATGCTCCATTTTTGCTTCCTTTAAAATCAAAACCTCAAGTATATTGTAGTCACTGTTCCACAGAATTCCTGTAACTTCCACTTTATCTACTAAATCATCCCTATTAGTCAGTATTAAATTAAGGATAACCAACCCTCTAATTCCTTCTTCCACTTTCTGTAGAAGAAAGTTATCTGCCATGCATGACAAGAATTTCTTGGAGGGGCAACGTTTTTGCATAATTTATCACCCAACAGATATTGGGATAATTGAAAACCTCTATTACCACCACATCACACTTCCTTGAAATACTGGCAATTTGCTGCAGTATCATCTTCATCTTCTCCTTGATTGGATGGTCAGTAATAGACTTCAACTATCATGTTCCTTTTATTTCTTGACACATTTGTTTTGACTCAGATGCTTTTGATGAGGCTACCAGGCTCATCTCCCTGTATTTCTGTGCAAGAATGGGTATTTTTAACATATAATGCAACTCCACTTCATTTCCTTTTTCTTCTCTTTCTGATCAAGTCACACCCTTCAATTGCTATATTCTAGTCATGGGAATCATCCCACCAAGTTTCAATAACACCTATCAAGTCATTTTGCTTTCGTGTATAAAGAGTCCGAGTTCATCTTGTTTGCTTCCCAGACTCTGGACAAGAGTGTATAGACCCTGAAGCCCATGGCCTGGCCTGGCCTGGTTTGGCTTCTTTCTCAAGATATTGAGAAGACTATTTTGTGGCACAAGTAGACCTCTTTTCTGTGTTTTGCTGCATATGCTTTCTTCTGCAGCTGCCTCCAAGTCCATGTCTCCCTAGCCAGTAAGACTCAGTTTAAAACTCTCCTGATAAAATTCGTTATGCTGTGGCCAAATACATTCTTTTGAACTCTGATGAGGTGTAACCCACCCCTCGCTAGCAGTCCATAATCCAAACTGTGTAGTTTGTGGGTCCAGAATCTGAATATCTCATGTTGGCACTACCATCACAGGCAGTCTTTCACCTGGAGCATTTTGCTTTCCCTTTCTATTCCTTTTCCAAGAACTTGGAGGATGAATGAGAAGACTAACTACCCTCAAAGGTTTTGAGTATCCTTTCCAGAGCTTCAAAATCTGATGGGATTTCTTTGTAGCTCTGTCTTGCAGTATCATTTGTTCCCACTTGGATTGGAAGGAAAGGATAGGTTTTTATGAGCCTTGGCAATCTTTCAGTCCTTATTCTTGTCTCTGTTTGAAACAAAAGTTGCCTTTTCCACTTCCATTTTAGTTCTGACACAATATTGAGAATTTCAAAGCTTTGAAATATGTTATTATTTATGTATTTACAGCATTTTACTGCACTGTTTAGCCACAAAGAGCTCCCAGAACTTAAAGGTAAACCATATTTAAATTGGCCAATTTTTTCCTTCCTCCCTGACATAAATAGGGAAGGTAAAAATCATTGCTATTTTTTCTTATATTTTCTTTTTCTTCTGTGGCTGTCAACTAGAGGCAAAAACCATATTCTTTAACATTCCTATCCTGCTTGGGGTTTTCTTGTGGGCAGCTGGTTGACCACTCTGTGGACAGAATGCTGGATAAGATTCTTGGGCTGTTCCAAAAGGCTCTTTTAATATTCCTCTGGACACTGGTGGACATATTTATGAGATGTTATGCAATAGGTATGTGGAATTAGCATATGAAAATGTATAGAAACACATGACTTGGAGAAGTGTGGGAACTGGGGTGTTCTCCTGCCACTGATTTTTATTGAATACTTCTGTGTTCAGTTTTAACCTCTTTCTCTGAATAATTTTTCTCTAATGTGTGATCTATACTCTTTTTTCCAAAAAGCCTATATGCATTTGAAGGCATACAGGTAGACTTCATGCAAATGGCACACTTAGAGGGCAGCAAAATGGCCAGCCAATATGACCCTAATCACATACATCAGCAATGTATTTATACTAAATAAATGCCTGAACTCAAGAAAAGCACTTTTTTACTCAAGAAAAGTGCTAAGATCAGATGTCACCATCTGACTTTATCACATATGACATGTCACCCTTTAATAATCAGATTGCAAGACTGGCTCATGTGCTACATAATGGGCTCAAAGCATACATTCTGGCCAGCAGGATTATATGCTTTGAACTCTCAGAGTTACCAGAGTCACTCATATGATCATAGAAATCCACATACAGTGTTAACAGGAACTGACCTATAAAATCAGGTTATACTAGTACTTTCGAATCTGCACTGATTTCCAGCTGTTTCCAGCTGAAATTCAAAGTGATGATATTTACCGTCAAATGCCTTATGGGGCCCAGGCCCAGGCTATCTGAACTCTTGTCTCCTCCCATATATATCTACTTAGACCCTAAGGTCACCTTCAGAAGCCCTCCTCCAGGTGTCCTTTCCAAGTAAGTTGAGGTGGGTGATTTCCAAAGAAGGGCCTTTCTTGTGGTGGCACATTGGTTATGGAATGCCCTTCAAAGAAAGGTTCTTCTGGGCACCTTCACTGTGGTCTTTTTGGTGAATATTTTTTTCCTTTTTTGGAAGTTCATTTAAACAACAAAAGAAAACATGTTAATCCTTTTTGTTTCTTGCAACATTGCTGGTCTCAACTTTGGTTTTATTTTGTTGTTTTAAACTTTTACAAGTTTTTGTGTTGTGTCTTATTATGTTTTTATATTGCATTGTTTTAAATTTTATTTTGTGAACTGCCCAGAGAACTTTGACTATTGGGTGACATAGACATGTAATGCATAAATAAATTGAATCAATTGTAAAGGAGATGGAAATTGTTGCCAGCATCTTATATTAGTGCTGTAAATCAACTGTGATTTCCTGGTGGTTTTCTTTCCCTTGCTGAATAACACGATCTCTGTAAAGTGACATTCATATTCCTCACCCTATGCAATATAATCTGCTTGCACTGATATCTTTTGCTTCATGCAATACATTCTGCTCACACTTTACAGGTCCCAGGGCACTGAAAAGCAAACATTTACTACGTAGTTTCATCGTGGTATAATTTCAGATTCTAAATTTGGACCAAAACGAAGAAACCAGACAGTTCAAATTACAGTATCAGTTTCAGTTATTTTCACTGGTCTCGGGCTTAATTCCTTTCCATTCCGTTCCGTTCCGATCCGTTCCATTGCGTTCCATTCCCGTCCCTTCTCGCCCTGTCCAGTCTCTTTTTCATGTTTGCACGTCCCACATCTATCGTTATACTGCAAAATGTACTTTGCTTCGAGGGTACGTGAGATTTCAACCCGCTTTGTACCCAATATTTTAAAAGTGCACGCGTGACAATGCGTCCAAGTACCTTGGCTGAAAGAGAGGGAGCGAGAGAGAGCCATTCCTTCCCTTTCCAGTACCCCAAAGAATCCCAACTATTCGAGGGATCGAGGCAGGTAAGAGGAAGAGGCTGCCCCGCCCCCGCGACCCAGAACTTGACGAACTTCCCCAAAGGCAAGCGCAGCCTGCGAGGAGCAGGACGGGGGACCGGAGCCACCCGCTCGTTCGCTGCTCGGATCGCTGGCGGCCGATGCAGCGGAGGAGCATCCAGCGTCCGAGGCACCTCGCCCTGGCTGCGCGCGTGTGCCTGGGACGGCGCCTCCTCTCCCCGCCTCCGGCGATCGTCGCCCTGTCCTCGCCCCCCGCCTCCCTCTGCCAGGCTCCCCCGCCCCCGCCCGCCCCAGGGCTGAAGCCCGCCAAGCCCTATAAATGGCCCTGGCCTCGGGCGAGGGCGGCTACCCCGGTGCAGAGCCCCGCAGGAGAGCGGCCGAGGAACCCGTCCCCCCCGTCGCCACACCTCCCGGTTCATTGCGGCTGAGACCATGAGCCAGGCAGCGTGGGGATATTCCAAGGAAAACGGTGAGTGGGGAGTTAGGAGAGTCCTCCGTGAGGAGCTTGACAGCATCCCAGCCCAGCCCAAAGCCGCTCCGCATGGGACGGGGGAGTAAGAGAGTTTTGAGGCTGGGGTACTGCCCGTCAGAGCTCCATCATCCCAAAGGCGGCGCTAGGACGACCGAGAGCACCATGCAAACGATTGCATCGATTCTTGCATCAGCTTTCCTGGACTTCAAGAGAGACGGCTTGTTTCTTTAAGGGTTAGGAGCATCGCTTGGCAGCTGCGGAAGACTGTCCAGTTGCTGGATCCACAATGCTGCGAGGATGAATGCGTCTGTTCTGTGGAGTGACTCTTTTTTTAAAAAAGGAACATAGGGCAGATGTGGGCAGGCCAATGTTCTAGTTCCCTCCAGATGTTTTGGATTACAGCTTTCCAACATCCCATGGCCAACTGGCTGGGGCTTACAAGAGATGAAGGACAAAGCATCTGGAGGATACCCAGTTGGAGAAGGCAGTTTCAGATATTTCAACAGGCGCCTTAAAGCCTAATGTATATTTTTACTCACCTGGAATAAGTATGCAGGAAGGTGAATTAAGCCAGCTCAGGTTATTTCTGGTCAGAGCATTCCTCAGCCCAGTGCCCTCCAAATTTCTTGGACCAGCTCATACCATCTACTGATAGCAAGCTGGTATTAGCGGGAGTTGCATTCCAGCTGGACTGGGGAAGCCTCCAACTGGAAAAGACTCTCCTGATTCTCAGGCAGAGGCTTTCTCTAGAAGCAGCTATTGCAGGGGTGGTCCAAAATCCAGATTGCCCACTCCCACCTTTTCCAATACTCCCTTTAACTGAAGAGGTCAAGAAATGATGACTTCTACATGCTAAGCATGCAGTACCTCAGCAGACCTAAGCTTTCCTTGCTTGTGTCAATACTTAATTTTTGGCGATAGCACAGCCACAGCTTTCTCATTAACTTACATTTACCCCACCTTTCTTCTGCAGTCACTAGGCTGGGATACATAGGCCTCCATAGACCCTGATCAGACTTAGACTTGCTTAAAGTCAGTCGTGTTGCTTCAGAGCATGCATATGCTATAAATGGATTGATGGGAGCACATTTGCTTTTGCTGCAATCACTGTGCTTACTTAACACTTTAAAAGTGCAAAAGCAAATAAATAAATTCAAACTGCTGTACAAATATAATAAGCAAAAAACACAGATTGGGTTCAGACAACATGATTAATCACACTCAGGGGTTTAGCATGGGTTGTATGGAGGTTAATGTTGAAACAATCGATTGTTCCTGAAGTGTGGGCAATTGTATTGTTGGAACCAAGTGGAGATTTTTTTAAAAGGTCTTGCAATGCATAAGTGTAGGTTATCATGTTGTCTGAACCCGGCCACTGTTCCGCCACCAGTGTAGAAAACAGACTCATTTGTCAGTTCAGCTGACTTCCTGAATATGGTGTCTTTTCCTCAGCAAAATGCCTCAGACCAGCTTTGTTCTAGCCCACTCTTATTGATATTGACTAGCAGAGGCTCTCCAGAGTTACAAGTAGGAGTATTCTTTCCTACCCTATCTGGAGATGCTGCAGGTCAAATTTTAGACTTGCATGCAGTTCTGCATGCCAGAGCAACCTGTACTGGCTTGGAAAGGACTCATGACTTTTGTGTAGGAGGTACAGCTTGTGTGAAAGACGTCTTATTTCAAGGAAGTTCACTTAAGATAAGAACGACTCACATATGACACAGTCCAGTCATGAGTAATCACTTCTAAAGCTCATGCATTTGACAGGTAAATTTTGAAATGTGCCATTTATGACACTTAAATTCTGTGGACCAATACATTCCTCACTTGACCTGGATTAAACCTACTAACCAGCCTGCCAGGTCTGGTCCTGCCAGTTTGGAAGATGAGGCAGTTGCCTCAGACCACAGATGCTGGGAGGTGGCAGCAAGCTGTGGAGAGAGCTGTGTGCTGCGCTGCCCTCTCTCTGTCACTTAAGCCAGCCTGCTGCCATCAGTTTCTGTGGAAGGCTTTGCCTGATCGTTGGTGCTGAAGATCACGCAGCTACCTGTCCAGACAGATTTGAGCCTGGAAGTGGGGGCCATCTTGTCTTTCATCACAGGCAGCAAACTCCAGATTAGCCATGCAGTATTCCTAAGTTTTCTTTCTATGAGTGCAATTGTAGAAATGCCCAATAGCTTGTACATACCAGCCTTATACCCTTTCTTTCTAGTGATCAAAGGTTTCTGCAAAATAACCTCATGGTGACTGATCAAAATCGGTTATGACAATGAGGACAAATCTGTATCCACCCTTATTTTCTTCCTTTGCAATCCTACACATATTTTTTCAAAAATTATGTCCCACAGAGTTCAATGGGACTTACCCCCAGGTAGGTGAACACTGTATTGGGTTGCAGCTTTTGACTTTTAGATGAAAGTCCTCTTCATTAAAAATAAAGAATGGCAAAGCTGTGCAGCTGAGAAAGACACTACATTGCAAGCACAGCTTCTAACTCCCAAGTTTTCACTTGTAGTTTGTGCAAGCCTTTGCAAAACCTAACACAGCCTTTTTGTGGCTTCTTTCTCTTAGGACCTGAGCACTGGCATAAAAATTACCCATTTGCCAAAGGGAATAACCAGTCACCTGTTGCGATTCTTTCTAAAGATGTACACAAAGATCCTGTTCTACTGCCCTGGTTTACTGGTTATGATCCCGGTGCAGCTAAGTCCCTGAAGAACACTGGGAAAACATGCCGGATTGCCTTTGATGATAAATTTGATCGCTCTGGTAAATTTGAGTTTGATGTTTTGTAAGTGCTTCTGGTTAAACAGTATGAATCCTATAAAATGTTGGGTTGATCTGCTGGGTGGAGAAAGGATAGCTTCACTCCCCTGAAAACCAACAGTAGTGTGTATGTGTGTTGTGGGAAGGGCATTGTACTCTTAGCTTTGGTTGTACTTAAGTGTAATTGCTACATGCATGCTTTGTCACCATCTATATCAAGATTCAGGTCTGAGGTGAAGTGAGGTTCATGCCAGCCCTCACTATTTTCCTGCAGATATAAGGGAAAATCATACAGATTCTCTCCTGCTCTGGTTTGCTTCCTTTACTGTGGCCTTCCCCAGCTTGATATCCAAGCTTTATGATTTCATCTCCTATCAAGCAGCATGGCCAATAGGAGTGAAAGCTGGGAGCTATGATTCAAAATGACTGGAGACTACCACACTGGGGAAGGCTGCTTTACTGCATGCTGGGACCTGACTTCAGTATCTGTCTTTTTATATTGTATTTTATTTGTTTTATTTTTATTATTTATAGGCCAGCTTATAAGCAGGTTCTTAGTGTGGCTCAAAATAATGGCACATTTTAAAATTCAATAACACTTTAACTCTCCATATTACAATAACAAATATAGTATTGATGAGCTTCAGGCAGTACAAAGTATTTGAAGCTAAAACTGATTATTTATTCTTATTTATTTTATTTAAAACATTTCTATGCTGCCCCATTCGCAAAAAGCCTCGGGGCAGCTTATGAAACAGATACGTATAGAAAAATTAAAGGACTTTTGGTTAACACCAAAATGATGGGTAAACACGCATGGACATGCATGCACTGTAGTAATAACTAAAGAAAATTATCTGAGGGACAATTGCTTAGCTCAGCACTTACTTGATGTTCACAAAAAGGGATAAAGGTTTACCTGCAAATTCATTGTCAGAGCCAAGGGTTTTGTTTATCCACTGCACAATCCACTGTTTATCCACTGCACAATTTTTATCCACCTAAAAATGATACATAGGGCCAAAGGTCTTGCATGTGATTACATTTAATAACATGCTGCAGGGATAACCCTTTTTGAATGAAATAAGGTGATGGTTTGAAGGAAAATGTGAATAGTTAGATACGCATGACTTTTTTTTTTTTTTGCAAACTGCAAGAAAGAATTGCAGTGATGAGAATGTGTTTTTGATGTGGATTAAATCATTTGAATTGACTGGTGGTTTAGAGACAATGAATTTCTAGGTATCCCTCAGCTAGGAAATGGAGATGAGTACCACCTCCTAGAGTCAGACATGACTGAATTTTAATGTCAATGGGAAACCTTTACCTTTTTTATTATAAATTCATTTATGTAAGACTTTACTTTTGCTTAGACCAGTATCAGCATACTATGATGAATAGATGGATGGACTGATTATGATGACAGCAATGACAATAATGATGATGATGCAAATATTGAAATAATGATTAAGGGTTTTTTTCCAGTTGAGCTCACACTAACTTCCATTGACTTTAACATGTATTTTATAATTGTGGTAGAAAATGCATATTGTGCAGGATAGGATAAATCTGTGTCCACTTGCCACATCCAGGTATTGGTCTAGTTTCATGTGCCTCTCAGCACCATCAGGTTCCCCAGATACTGGGGGACCATTCTCCAGAATACCACTCTTAGCATGGCTACTTTTCTCATGCAGGAGTGTGGGGAATGTAGAAGAGGGTGGGATGGCACAGAGGATAATGCACAGCCCTGAAGCTCTGCTCACCATCAGCTGTGACCTTTGTAGTGGGCCAGTGGCAATATGTAACTCCTGCAGTCCCCTGTGCAGCCCCTGCAACTTTCCAGAATTTGGGGATCCCAAAAACTAAAGCATTCTTTTGCAAACAACTGTGCAGTCCCTAAAGGATAAAAGATGCTTTGCCAGGAAGCTAATGTTGACTCTTTGGATGCTCTGTAGCTGCCACAGATACAAATTTGTTTCAGTTTTTAAAATCTTTTATTGGTTTTTGGCATCCATAGGGGTGTATGCAACTTATAGAAGCACAAGAAGAGACTCTGGGTCTCCCAAAGTTGCCTACTCTTGCTTTATTATAAAGGGTTCTGCACCCCTGTGATAAATATTAATAGCATCAACAGTGAAATACTAGTTGTGATTTTAAAATGGTGACAATGATCATGTATTCTTTCCTTCCACTCTACTCTACTCTGCTCTTTCCCCTTTTCTCTTTGTCCCCCATTGTACTGCATAATTTATTAATTAATTATTTATACCAAAATTTATACCAAAATTTCTATTTTGCATTTTTCTTCTAAAAGAGATGTGCAAAACAGATAACAGAATGTAGAAACCAAGGCAAAAATAAAGTTAGCAATAACACTATTGTTAAAATAGCTATATTAAATCCAACAATATCCATTAAGCATTAAGTAGAGGGAGCTCAGACAACCTGAACTAACAGTTAACAAAATTAAACATCAATAGAATATTGTTGAAAAAGAATTACAGGCTGTACTGTTGTAGCCTATTGAATGTAAGTTTGTAACTCTGCACACCAGGGACCTGCCCATTGTGACCTTTACCACACTATGCAAATGAATTATTAACATCAATAATATCAACAGGAATCACATCAGCAGTGTTCGTATTGTTTTCCTTCAGGAATATTATAACAGTATGATAAATGAACCTAAATGCACTTCATTTATCCTAATCTCCCACCATATATGGCAAGGGAAAAAAAATCAGTAGTCTATATAACTGAGGCACAAACTCTGTTCTCTGACCTTGAGTGTAGGGCTTTTTTTTTCAGAAACAGGCAGCTTGATGGATGGGTAGGCATTGGATCCTAGATCAGGTTCCTAAGATGGTGGGTTGGGATGACTGAGCCTTCCACTGCCACCTTCATCATCTTCTATACAAGTCCCATCTGAATTAGGCACCTGAAACTGAACCTTTTACTGGGTAAGGACATGTGCTACCCATTGTCATGATTTTAACTCTAAAAGCCTTCATGTTACAAATCAATTCAAATGATATCCTTACCATCATTGATGCTAGTTTACTACTAAAGACAGGAGCTGTGATTCTGAAAAGGAATACTGAAGTCAACAGAATGTTCTTTTCAGCTAATTATCTTCCTATAGGAGAAAAGATAATGGGAAGGGACTAAGTGTATTTTCTCCCCTGTGACTAGGATGCAACTGTGCAAGAATAGGATGCAAGACAAATCCTTGCGACATTTTAATTTTAAAAAGTAGGAGACAGATCCATGTTCAGTTTTGGCCCTTAGAACAGCAGCCTAGAGTAACTTAAATGGATGGTTGGTTTGCTTTCAGCAGGTCTTCCTGGAATAGCTTCAGATGTTTAAGGATTAGAACCTTACACACTACAACTGGTAACATCATCTCTGTTTGCTGTGCTGTTGTGATGCTGCAGCAGCACTGGTACAATATTCATGTTCTGTGATGTGATCCAACTATAAGAATTGGTATGGCCTATCCTTGAAGCATATTCCGGAGCAGCAAATCTTAGGAACTTGGCTGTTACAACATTCACCCTTGTGGAACTCCACAATTGATTATCTTGTGGAGCCAGGCCTTGTAACTTTTGTCTCACTGTATCTTTGCATCCTCATTTCTCATATAGAGATCTTTACATAACAGTTTTTATGGGTGGTGATTTATTTTTGTATGGGTGCATATGAATACCAATCAAAATGAGAAGCATTACACAGCTGAAAGAAAGGGAGGCAGCCCATTGCACAGGCAGGCATCCCTGTGCCAATAAAGAAGAAAAAAAGAAAAAGACAAAGCAAAGCCTTCTGCCCTGTGCTTAACACATCTTTTATCCTCGGGTATTCCAGCACATAGGATATCAATCACTGACATGAGACCAGCAGTGCTCTGACACAAAAGGGTTTAAGATCTGTGGTAGCATTAACTTTGAAATTCCATGCTCTTGCTGGAGGTCAAAGAACTTGAGTGTTGTTCAAACAAAGACCTTCTGGGATTGCCACAGTACATTGGGTTATCAGCTTTCTGTCCCTGGAGACATAGGTACTGTTCCCTTTTTAGGCTGCCAATAAAGATGAATTTAGTATCTCAAGAGGCTTAGGGTTAGAACTGTGGGATGGGGGCATTATAGGTCAGGAATGAAGTCCACTAGCAGAATGCCATGCTCAGATGTTTCCCGGCAGCTCCAGCCTTCTTTGTCAAGGTTTTTAGATCTATATGCCAGACTCTCGTACATGGAAAGTCTTATCTCGGTGACACTTCTTTCACTGATGAAAAGGAGCATTGCTATTGATGGAAATTTTCCTTCAAGAAAATGCAAGCAATATAATTGCATATTGACAAACATACTTAGCTGACTTCATTGAGCATAATGACAAAGAATGGTCTGTGGAGCAAATGTTTATTCCTGGACCCGTTAATGCATCCTTATTGACACAACCAACTGTGCTATATGGTTACTTTGCTTTTATCATAAAACAACAATGCAAAGCCATCATTTATATCCTGGGGAAGAGTGAGCCTCATTATTTTGCTTGTGGATTGTCACCTGTCACTGTAAATCTGGCAACAGATGAGGTGTCACGTCATTAGGACTCAGTCCCTCCATGACTATATATAAACAGGACAAATGTTCCTTGCCAGATCCATTATGTTTTTACCTGATTCTCAGTTGATGAGTCCTAGGAAGAATAAACTGTCCTTACAGAAACAGTCTAATGGGTAGCCTAGCTATAAAAACATTTTCTGAAGTGTGTGCTCTTCCACTGATTTTACTGGAGATTATAAGCTCCAATCGTAAAGGTCTGGCTTTCGTGCTTTATATATTCACAGTGGAAGAATGTTTATTTTGAGGAAGCTGAGCTCAGTCTTTCAATATCAATATCAGCAAATCCATCCACACCAAATACCTGATTTCTGTAAAGTAAAAATTCAGGGCCACTGGTTCTCCCCAACATTTCAGTGCCTTTTTGGAGCAATTAAAACTGAG